CCATGTACACATCGATCTATTTTCACTTAAAAAACATCCTAGATTGCACAAACTAGGCACCGCGCACAAACTCGGCATTAGCGCACCTACATTGGGCTTTGCCCATGTACACATCGATCTATTTTCACTTAAAAAACATCCTAGAATTGCGCAAACTAGGCACCGCGCACAACCTCGGCATTGCGCATTACATTGGCTGTGCCCACGTACACATCGATCTATTTTCACTTAAAAAATCATCCTAGAATTGCACAACCTCGGCATTGCGCACTACATTGGCTTTGCCCATGTACACATCGATCTAATTTCACTTAAAAAACATCCTAGAATTGCACAAACTAGGCACCGCGCACAACCTCGGCGTAGCGCACTACATTGGCTTTGCCCATGTACACATCGATCTATTTTCACTTAAAAAATCATCCTAGAATTGCACAAACTCGGCACCACGCACAAACTCGGCATTGCGCACTACATTGGCTTTGCCCATGTACACATCGATCTATTTTCACTTAAAAAAACATCCTAGAATTGCACAAACTAGGCACCGCGCACAACCTCGGCGTAGCGCACTACATTGGCTTTGCCCATGTACACATCGATCTATTTTCACTTAAAAAACATCCTAGAATTGCACAAACTAGGCACCGCGCACAACCTCGGCATTGCGTCACTACATTGGCTCTGCCCATGTACACATCGATCTATTTCCACTTAAAAAAACATCCTAGAATTGCAGAAACTAGGCATCGCGCACAACCTCGGCATTGCGCACTACATTGGCTCTGCCCATGTACACATCGATCTATTTTCACTTAAAAAAAACATCCTAGAATTGCACAAACTAGGCACCGCGCACAACCTCGGCATTGCGCATTGCATTGACTTTACTCATGTATATGGCGATCTCTTTTTACTTAAAAATCAGAAATTGAATAAACTCTGCATTGCTCATATACTAAGAAATCTGCTTTCACTTAAAAGAAATCAGAGAATTGCAGAAATTCGCGCATAAGCAACTCCATTAATTCGCGTTTAAAAAAAAAAAAAGTTTCTAGAAAAATTGAGTTTATAACAGGCGAATCAAGATCCTAGCCTAATTGATTTCTCAGCCGTACATTTCTTGCAAGTACTACCATTCGATGACTTTTTCTGACTAACTAACCAGCATGGTATCTTACATTTTTCACAGAAAACGTTATCCTTCAATAATCGACAATCCATCAAAAATCGTCTAAAAAGTTCATACTATTGTTAATTCATACATAAAATATCTGTACCCAAAATTTTACGCTTGTTTGAAAACTCCCACCTTAAATTTTCTTTATAATCTCCTGATATTTTAATTACAAACATCACTAACAGCAGTTTTTAGAGCAAGCAATAACTAAACGCAAAAATATCACCTCAAGTAGCCAAAAATATATATACAAAATAGAATTCACGGTATCTGAGCGTTAAACAATCGCCAATAACAGTGTTACGAATTGTGTATTTAGATATTAATTTTAGTAGAATTCTAATTTAAAATGTATTTCCTCTTGCAACGCAGCGTGAGACAAATTTTAAGAGAAATCTATACCGGAAAAGTAAGAATACAGGGCACGTGCATTAAACTTTGAGTAAACGGATATGTCGGTAATTTGTATTGAAATTGAATAAATGTAACAGACTACTAAATTAGCTGTAACCGTAATTCCAGCCTCTTGTTTACATTGCGTTTGGCGAATAGTATGGGTTACCAGATCATATCATTTATCGCCGCTCTTGGCGATATTGTTTTTGTTTAAAATTCCGGGTGTGCTATACTAAAGCTGTGCCCTACTGTGAGATATTGTGATACTGAGCACCGCCTGAGATAACCACTGACCTGACTTTGTTGTAAAAGTCTTACAGTGTTAATAGTCATCCTGGCAGTAGGGAATATTTGCTCCGTGTAAAAATATAAATATAAATATTACATGGGCATACAAGGCCTGTGTATAAACATAGATATGTTGATTACAAACATTGTCTTGTACAAGTTACATATGATAGTTACATAAAATCATGACAGCTATGTGTACATTTGTTATGTCGTGGAGCAAAAACTTTACTTTACACCTGACTGCCACTGGGTCCGACATAGCAATGTGAATACTCTACATCTAAAATTTTAAAACATCATTCCAGAATTTTAAATATTTATTAAATAGAATTCTATTCATATATTTGCAAGTTATACACTACAAACACAATAAATAAAATTCGAACTTATCTGCACCAGCGTGAATAAGCCTGGCATAATATTCTGACTCGACGCAACTTTAGGAGGAAAAACACCGCAAATTCAAACACAAGGTTTCATCCTTTCCAACGCAGCTAATTTTCTAAATATATTTTACTAATATCCGCAGCGGGATAGCGGATTCATTTCATTCACCCAAAACTCAAATGTTTTAACGCAATAGTATCGCAAAGGAAACATCGACTCAAAATCAAAATATTAAAATCTATAGAATATCATCCGCTGTTGCCATTCCAGCACTGCCAAGTTTTTTCTCCCTGCAGCTGTTGCCAGACTTATCCTCGCTGTATGATGAGAGGTACAACAGATATGCTGATTACGAACATTGTCTTTTACAAGTTACGTATGATAGTTATATAAAATCATGACAGCTATGTGTACATTTAAACATTATATGAATTCATATTTACAGTACTTTTACTGAGATAAAGTAAACTTGTAATTCATTTACACATTGACTGGATTTTCAATATCATTTAAACTGTTTTACAATATTATTTGTATCAAGTACATACAAACTGGATAGTAATATGCTTACATTACAATAGTTTTGCTCTTACAGTCCTTTTACTATTCTACGGGGTGAGCTATTTTTCTAGTGTTGATTTTCAGTTGTTGTAGTATTTTGAATTGATATTAAAATTATGCTGCGAAGAAACAATTTTCAATGGAGGGGGAGAATTTCTTAGTACCTTGCTGAGCATAGCCTGATTTCCTCCTCTATTGTAGTTTTTCGTCTGCTTGTTGCCGCAGGTATTCTCCACCCACTGCGGCCAGCATTCATTGCTTGGCATTTTTAAATGCAGTTTATCGGTTTGTGGGCAGTTGAAGAGGAAGTGATCTGCATCACCTACCGCACCACATTCACACAATTCTGATGCTCGTTTGCTGAATCTCTTAATAATGTGGGAAAGGACCATGGCCAGTGTAGAATTGAGTTTGTACTCCGCTGTATGTATAAATTGAGCATGTAACTTTCGGAAAGAACTTGTAGGTTTTCCTCCCTGGGCTTTCCCTTTCCAATCTTTTCTGCCATTCTTGTAAAAGGCTATTGAGCGTGAATTTTTTTAAATAGAACTGCGGAGCACTTACTGCGTTTTCCAATCTACTGGAGTCATTGGCTGCAGATTTCGCAAGCACATCCGCCGCTTCGTTGCCAGTAATACCCACATGGCTGGAACCCAGATCAGGATAGGTCTGTCATCTGGTGGGATACTTAGAAGAATTTTCTGAATATCTTGCACCAAAGGACTCCTTGTCTTGTGCCTTCGGATGGACTCCAAACTTGAGGCATAACATTGTCTTGTACAGATGGACACGGATGGACTTTATTTTTATTACCTTTATACCTAATTGATATTTTGCCAAACTGATGGCTAATAATGAAAGAAGCTCTGCCTGAAAGACAGTATTTTTGTCTGCTAATCAAATTGATTCGATCCAAGTAAATAATTGCGACAGAAACTGATAAATAATTTTTAGTCTTCCGCGATTCATTTGACACTTTTATCGTTTTTGCATGCTGAGTAGTATGAGGAATTATGGTACACTATTGATTATACCGTTATTTATGGTACATTATTGATATATATTTATCAATTGTGGTTATTTACATTTTTGACACGTTGTTGCAAAAATCCTAGGGAACACAATCATAGTTTGGATAATGACAAAGCCGCCTGATATTGATAGAATGTATGATATCTATTTATACAGCAATCAAACGCAGTAGTTGCATAATCTTTATAAATATTTAATTTAAATTTCTTACTTATATTATACTACTAATTTGGAACATAATTAACCATACATATTAGTTTATAAATAACTTATGTGAGTGGGTCGTTTTAGATAGGGTCATAGAAGAGACCTGTATAGTGTAACAAGTATTTATTAACAGGTTTAAGTTACACACGCACATTACATTTAACTTTAAGAAAATTACAGAGCAAGAGTCTGGTACAACCTATCAAGTGGGACACTTGGTTTTTTACGGAAGTACTTCTCTGTCTACTCACCAGAGGGCAGCCTTGTTGTCACAGTTAGTCCAACAGTTTATGTTAAAAGATTGGTTACAAACTCCCCCTCTGGCTCCGCCTACGTCCCGGCAAGGAGACAGAACTGGAGGATTTGGGAACTCTTGTAACATTGTCTCTCTAGCCTAATTTTTTTTTTTTTTGGTTTCACTGGTAAGGGAACCTCTCTTTTAAGCACTGTCCGGAACCACAAGTTCTTGATTATTTCGGGAATGCAAAGTAACTTTTGTCGGTCTACCTCTCTTCCTGAGCGGAAAAATGGGAGAAGTGGACGAGTTTTTGAAAGTTGTTAGTGCAGACGTATGGTACGTTCCTAACAGTTCTGATGGTTTATGAAGGCTTGAAATGACATAGGAAGTAGGTGATTTCTGTGACATTACCAAATATGGACCGTTACTCTTTGGTATGAATTTTGAAGTCTTTTTGTTTTTTGCATTGCTAACGGGAGTAAATTGACCCATACATTATCACCCGGTGAATAAAACACTTGTCGCCTTCCTTTATCATATTGCTTTTTACGTTGATCTTGCTTTATTTCGATACTCTCTCGTATGTCCTTTGTAATAGTTGCGAATTGTTTAGGATAAGGGGAGATTTCAGAAACAAAGTATCATTTTCGACCACAGCTTGGAAATCCTGAACAACGTCGTCGACAGTCTTCAGCTCTTTTCCAAACATTAGGAATGTTGGTGTATGGCTTGAATGCTGGTGTATGGAGTTTCGAATGCCAGTTTTCCTGTACATCTCCTACAAGAATTGAAAAAACGAGGTTTTAAGTCTCTATTTTTCTGTTCTACAGGATTTGATTGAGGAACGTAAACTGGTATCAAGTTTTGATTGATATTTAATGTGCAACAAACTTGTAGCATGACTGCAGTGATAAATTGGGTTCCGTTATCGCGGATGATTCTTCGTGGTATACCATGCCGCATGAATACTTCTTCAATGAGGGTTATAACGCAGTCGCTTGCTGTAGCTTGAGCAAGAGGATATAATTCAACCCATTGCGGAACACAGTCTTCGACAATGAAGATCCATTGTTCCCCAGTGTCAGTTTTTGGCACTGGTCCAAACCAGCCAATAGATATGATCTCAAAACTCTGAGAATAGACAGGGGTTCTTAGCAGTACAGTTGGCTTTTTGTTGGTAGCCTTGTATTGGTTGCATTCAGGACAGCTTTCCACATAGTCGGATATGTACATTTTCATACCAGTTCAATAATAGCGTCTGGCAATTCGTTGGAATGTTCCTTCCTCTCCATAATGTCCAGCCATTGGGTCATCATGGTGCTTTCGCATGATGGACTCACGCTCGGCAGTTGGAATTGCTAACTGGGCCTCTGAATCAGAGTCTGGGACATATCGGGAACACCTTGATTCATTAAGAATCTCCGTTGTCCACTTGGCACATTCTTCAGTTTTCTGAGTGGATTCGAAACTTTCTATAATCATTTTAAGTTTTCATCTTTAAGTTGGGATCACGCATGTCTTTTGGACTTTTTGTGGTCATGTCCACTACAGATATATTTGAAATCTCGGAAGGTGAAACTTAATGTTCGGAGCTTGGACAGGACAGCATGTCAGCGATGACGTTTGCCTTTCCAGGCATGTATTGGACTTTCAGGTTGAAAGATTGAATTTCACGCGCCCATCTAGCAAGTTTTCCGGTTGGAGACTTAAGGTTCAAAGGCCATTTTAAAGGTCGATGATCGGATGCTAGAGTTACTTCTGATCCTTCGACGGAACCGCGAAATTTTTTCAGGGCCCAGACTACAGCGAGGTCTTTTCGTTCAGTCGTGGAATAGTTTCGCTTAGCCGGAGAAAGCAGTCGGCTGGCATATTCGATAGGGGTGCTCTTTAGACCCTTTCCCTTGAAGTAAAACGGCTCCAAGAGCATAATTGCTTGCATCTGTTCGAAGAATATACGGATGAGTACCATTTGCTTGCTTCAACACAGGAGGTGTTATGAGGCAATTGTTTAGATTTTCAAATGCTTTTTGCTGGTTGAAACCCCATTCCCATTGGACTTTCTTCTTCGTCAAATCACTAAGAGGTCGTGATATTTCCGCGAAGTTTTGTATATATCGTCTAAACCAAGAACACGTTTGAAGGAAGGATTGGAGTTCCTTGATGTTTTGGGGAGGTGGAATTTTAAAGAGGCAGTTTAAAGAGCAAAAGAATTTCGAAAACAGCTGTGAGATCAGAAAGGTGTTTCTTGAATGATCCTGACAACACGAATATGTCGTCCAGATAGGTGAGGGTTAGGATGTACTCAAGTCCATTACGAAAACGGTCTATCAATCTCTGGAATGTTGCTAGGGCATTCCGAAGACCGAAGGGCATTCGTAAGAAATGATATATTCCGAAGAGATACACAAATGCTGTCTTGTCTTGTTCCTCAGTATGAACCTTCAATTGGTGATAACTTGCACGAAGATTAAGGGTCGACTTGAAAGGAGTAGGTTTTGCTTCATGTAACAGGTCGTCTTTTCTCGGAAGTGGATAGAAATCCGGACCTGTAATCGCGTTCAATTTCCCGTAATCTATGCAGAGGCGTACTGTTCCATTAGGTTTCGGTATTAAAACAACTGGAGAAACATAAGGGGATTCGCATTCTTCAATTATTCCTTCGGATAAAAGCTTGTGAATTTCTTGCTTTAGATTTTCTTTCTTGGCAGGGTGCATTCTGTATGGTGGTACAGCTACTGGGGAATGGTTTCCAGTTTTAATTCGATGTTCTATGAAATGTGTTGCTTCTCCCCATGGTTGGAAGATTGTTGAATATTGACTCAAGTTCATTTAATTAGTCCAATTAGTTCATTTAATTGTGATCTTTGATGAGCCTATAAATGTTGTCCTTCACATTCTCTTTATAAGTCTAAGAAAACAGTACAGTTTACAGTACAGTGTCAACTTTCGACGTACATTCAGTTCAATCATTGGGTTCAAAATCATCATCAATAAACTTTTGTTGCGGATTATCGTGGTATAACCACCAATGATTTTGTAGATCTAAAACAATTCCAGCGCTTCTAAGAAAATCCGATCCTAAAAGTGTCCTGTTAACCTTTGCTGGGGAAGCGCAAATAAAGTTATGTGGAATGATCTTCCTTCAATGTGAATGTCTATCTGGGTTATGCGGACCTCTTCGTCCCTTTGAATACCTTCGGCAAGAGTGACCTTCATAGCAGTTTTCTTAAATTCTGATTCCTGTTCTTTCAAGAGATTATATAATGTTTCTCCCGCTATAGTGTGAGTAGCACCAGTGTCAGCACAGACAATTCCCGTAAATCCGTTAATTTTTACTTTTAAAAGAGTCGTGTGAGATGTCTCTACCAACACTCTATGTAAGGTTTTTGCTTTGAAGTCGGCTGATTCTTTACTTAAAGAAGGAGAGCAGTTGGACACTTAGCCTTAACGACGCCTGATTTTCACACAGCCATAACAACTAACAGTTGGTCGATCTTCTCTCATGCCAGAATTCCTTGTGCTGAGTTTGTAACAATTTGAGGGTTATTTTTATAATTTTTAGGACCACCACGTTGAGATGGCTTTGGAGTGTTATTACTGACGTTTCTACTCCTGATGGTTTTAGTTTCTTCATATAAATCTAATTTATCAGCCAGTTGAAGCGGGTCAGTCTACTCGGACCAATGGCCCATAAAATGTTCTTTATACTCACAAGGGAACAGTCTTTTAATTTGGTCCGATATCATCAAATCCTTTAACTTCTCAAAAGTATTGTGACTTTTAATTCACCAATCCAGTCATCAAAGAAATTTCTCAAATTCTCTCAATCCAGTCATCAAAGTAAAAATCTCGCCATGTACTATCAGGACTTTTGCGATGTTGCGAAAATAACTGTCGAAACGTTTCAGCTCTTAATTTTAAACGCTTTAGGAGAATTTGATGTTGCCATAATCTTGTGCATCACTAGCAGATTTCTTTGCAATCAGTTTTGAAACGTCATTAGGTAACAAACCTAAGAGATACACTACCCATTTTCCTTGAGGTATGTTCAAAATTGTTAGTTGCCTTTCAAATAAAGTGAGAAAAAGGCTCATGCCATCACTTTTTGGATTAAAGTGAGGAATTAAAGTTTGTAATTGTAACTTGGATATCCGTGTCAGTGGGTTTCAAAGCAGGTACGGAATCATGACTAGCACCTGAACTAGCTACGTGTATTTTCAATTTCTCAAGCTCGTGCTTGCGTTCTACTATCTCTTCCCTTTGGTTATACTCACGTTCCTCTATTTCTTTTCGTTCCGCAATAATGCTAAAAAATGGATCTTTAGTGAACTCTTCATTATATCCTTTACTCGTTACTTTTGTCATTTGTTCCGTAACATTCACACCAAGTTCGTTTGCTAGAACACACATATCTTGTTTACGTCCTTTAGCAAAAAACGACAAGATGACGTATTTCACTTAAAATCAATTGTTCGATGAAAAAAAAAAAAAACTTTATTATGGTACTATCCAGAAGTTTGTAATGAAGTCACCTTACCCAGAAACGATTTGTAGTAATTTTAATATAGAATAGCACTATACTAAAGTTAGTTGTATCAAAAGAAGCACAGTGGCAAAATAATATATAAAAAACAGTCCCTTCCTTAAAAGAAAACATTTTACAGGGCTTAGAAATGACGCAGTTTAAATAACATCAATAAAATCCTTTTTTTGTTAATTTTTTTATTCTCAAAGGACAAAATAAAACATTCATGGATAGCAATACACTTATGAAACTAAAAGAATTATGCACATCTGAAACTTATATCAATCAGTATGAAAAAATAACATTTTGCCAGAACGAAACTTACGCTTCTTTAAATCATCAAATATAAACAGTTTTCAGCAATGTAACAGGAAATGCAAGAAAAAATATCAATAAATAAAACCGTTATGGAGGCAACAGTATAATAAACATGTCATTGAGCCACTGGTTCGTTAAGTTAAGCTCAAATCGAAACTACGTTTATAAGATTGAATACATTTAGCATATTATAATAACAATTTCTAATACAGAATTTTACTCTTAAAATGCCTCGCTTTGAATATATTATACCTTTTTATGTTTTACCACATTTACCATTTCGAAACAAAACTGAATATTATGATTATGCAGTCTCGAGCACTCATTATGTGTAAACAAAATGAACGAATTTCTTAATTACTTCAAGATGATACAATATTCATAAAAGTTATACATATGTACTTTAAGAACACAGTAAAGTATTGTTACGACATGTACAGGGGCGGTAAGATAGTTTACCCGCAAAGCAGTTTTAGGATTGCCATAAAATGGCAACGGAAGGCAGGGTTGCCACGTTTGGCGAGAAATAGCCCATTTGGCGACAAAATTGGCGATATACTATGGACGGTTGGAGAACCTTCTGGAACGAATTCTACCGGCTTAGCGCAGAATGTTCCCGAACACAAGCCAAATGCTATATAAGCTCTGCTGGTCCGCAGTCAGTTAGTGTGTCTCTCATCGAGTGTGTGTGCGCCTTATCTAGCGAGCTGATAGTCATTGAACGAGTGTCTCGAAGTCTAGTGCCGAGTTGGTCGTCGAGTGCATAGAGAATCCTTTAGTGCATCGCGAATTAGTGCATCGTCGAGTTTTGTCTTAGACTGTGCTGAGTCCAGAGCTATACTCTTGTGTATCGTCGAGTGCATCACGTGGAGAGTATCGAGAGTACGTGGAGTTCCGAGAACGACCAAACAGAGTCGAAAGCTGTACTCTGGTGGTTTGCGGTGAAGCTGTCTCCACCGTTGTTCCTTGACAGTGTGAAGGCTGTGTCACTGAACGTGTCAGCGTGTTTATAAAAGTTCGACGACTGAAAAAGTGGTTTTGGAGCTGTCATGATTAATATATGTAAATAAAGTGTATTTCGATACTTCATCAAGTGTCGTAGTTATTCACTCCAAATCTACAAACCTTGTACGAACGTGAAGGTAGAAAATAACGTAACAATTGGTGTCAGAAGAATAAAAAAACGAAACAACTGGCGTCAGAAGTGGAATTTGCGAGTGAATGCCAGTGACCCGCCTGCAGAGGAAAGCCATGGCGGAAGAAATGAAGACTTTGATGGACCTTTTAGTCGAGTGAAAGCCGGGCAGGAAGAAATGAAAGCTGAGATAAAAGCCGGATGTGCTGAGATAAAAGCCGGATATGATGAGATAAAAGCTTGATATAAAGAGAT